TGGGAGTCAGAGGAAGGGTGCTGGGGGCGAGGGTGTCGGTCAGACGCAGGGGAGCCGCGTGGCCCCGCCATCGCCCCCGCCAGGCTGCAGTGTCTCCCTGCGGTCCCTCCGTAGTGAGTAGGTGGGAGCCACGCACTCTCCGAGGCTCTCCCTGCGCCCAGCACGGTGGGGGCCGCAGGACGACCGACTGCGAAGGTGGCTGAGGACAAGGCAGGGCTGAGGGAGGGGACGATGCGTTCAGCTCACGGGCCTAATGGGGGACGTAATCGTTATGATTATCTAGAACTTGCTCTTGAACCCACGCCAGGAGAGTGTGTTCGCAGTCCGCACGATCCAGGCAGGCGTTAAATAATTAAACCAAGGTCCTAATCGGCGGCGAAACTCCCCCTGGGCTCCCACTTCCTTAGTTCGCTGATTGCTGATATTTTGGGGGTGAAATATGACCATTTTTACGATCAAAGAGATCAGAGCTCCAAAGGAAAGAAACGGGAAAAGGGGGGGCGGGGGGCGGGCTCTTCCAGGTTTCTTTCCCTCTGACTTCGTGGTCTGGTAAAGTTTCTTTAGACATGCAAAGATTTACACAGCGACCTGTAGGGAGCCTTAAATTACTCCCGATTCCTCGCACGCTCCCGGAGCCCGGGAACAGTAAGTCATTGAGAAGTGGGCAGGCCCCTCGTAATCGCGCCGGCGGCCTTTGAGAGCGAGAATGTCTAATGACTTTTTTTTGAAGTGGAGGTCAAGGTTTTTTAAATAAAACAATCTGCGTTAATGCAATTTCCTTTTCAGCCGCAGCACTGGGCTTTATTTTATTTTATTTTTTGGACACAGGAGGCGGAGGTGGGGAGGCGCATCGTTTTTCTCCCGCCAGACAGCGCGTCCCTAATGAGATACATTTATTTAAAACTCTGTATATCATCACCCTGTCAGGGCCTCCGAGGGGGACCCCGCGTCTCCCTCTCGGTTTGTTTCAGATTAGCTGCCGTGCGGACGGCCCTGCAGTCTGGCTGGCGCTCGCTGCCACTGGTCTTCACCTGCCTGGCTGCGGCCACAGCGCGTGCCCACATACAGCAGTGGCCATGGTCACCATCATTACTGCTTCCCTAGACCTAGAGCCACAGGGCAGAACCCCTGCTGTTTCCCCGTCTTTCCCCAGCTCATAAGCCTGCTGCCCCCAAAGGCAAGCTTCCCAGTGCTGGATCCCCAGGCTGGAGCACTGGGGATAGGGTGGTCCCGGCCTGCAGAGAAGTTAATGAGATCAGGGGACCATGGGGGGAGTGGGCTGGGGGAGGCCTATCAGGGAGGGCTTCCCTAAGGAAGGGGCATCAAGCCGTTCTTGGAGCCGAGCAGGATCTAGCAGGTGACAGAGGGCAGGGTCTTGGGGTGGCCAGGCAGGAGATGCTGCAATGTTTGAAGGACCCACGGAGCCACCAAACCTCACCTGTTCCAAGGGGTGGGCCCTGCGGAAGCCCCTTGTTGGCCTCTCTGAGCCTCCCTCGCCCCTTCGTGCCCACAGCTTGAACTGCATTTTTAAACTGCTCTGCGTGGCCCAAGTTCCTGAGACACCCAGTCCACAAATATGTACCTTGCTCCTTCCTAGGCCAGCTCTGGCTGGGCCTGGGGCTGCCCCGGGGACCGGCTGGAGCTGGCTCCTGCCCCCGGGGCTCACCAAGGAAGAACGAAGGTGGAGGTGAGCTCAGGCCTGGACTGCAGGTACTGCCATCCCGGGCAGGGGGTGTCAAGCAAGGGCCCCCAGGTTGTGTGGACTGGAGGGCAGGGGTTGGGGCTTGGGGAGGATGGGAATTACCCCAGAAGTCCTCTGCCCAGAGCAGGGATCACGCTTTTCCCCTGGCCGGTGGACTCTTGGGAGCACTGCTGTGGCCTGGGGCTCTGGGCCCTCATGGGAGCCCCTCTGCGGCCCTCTGGGCTCTGGACCCCCTGCCCCCACTAGAGACCAGGGACAGGTTACTAATGAGTAGTGATGACACAGCTTTGGGGGTCAAGGCTGGGAAGCCGTCTACCCATTCCTACGACCATGAGCACCTGCAGCCTGCAGGGTTCTGCGCCGCAGGGCAGGAGAGGCCCCAGGGCCTCCGGGCAGGGGAGGCACCCACTTTAACCACTGCAAACTGCCTGGTCAGGGTTGGCCTGTCCAGCTCCAGACCCGCTGGGAGCTACCTGATGGCCTTCCACACCAATGCCCCGAGAACCCAGTCTGGTGCCTGGCACACAAGAGCACAAAGTAAATAGTTCCCACGTGCAGTAACGGCAATGACAGTGACCGAGGCAGCATGTCTAGATGGGATCTGGACAGGCCTGGGATTGACCCCTGGCATCGTTACTCAAGGGCTCTGTGACCTTGGACAAGTCATTCTGCCTCTCATCTGTACTGGGGCTCATAACAGTATCTGTGCCTCAGGGGGGTCAGAAGGAGTCAACCCGTGATAAGCTGGGGCTTAATGCCGGCCGGCACCCTGCAGGACGCTCGGCCCGGTGTCCATTTCTGGAACCCTCTGAAGCTCTCTCAGTCTGTGAAGTGGGCCTTTACTGCTTTTACTTCGGAAACCTCCACAGCCAATTCCCAGCACACAGCCGGCCATGCCCCTCCTCTTCCGGGCTCTCAGTGTTCACCCGTCCCCGCTCTCCCGTGTCTGCCTCCAGCAGGGTGTCCCTGCCTTTGGCTCCCCTCCCTCTCTGTCTGCCAGGGGTCCTGTCCCAGAGGAGCTGATTCTCCAGGGTCTCCCGCGCCCCCCTTCACAGCAGCGAGATGGGAAGAGGGAGGGAGGGAGGGAGGGAGGGAGGAAAAGAGGGAGGGAGGAGGGAAAAAAAATCAAAGCCCACATATTGGTTCCAGATGTGGCCCTCTCTCACAGCCCTCTCCAGCAATTTAATTAAATTCCCCCAGACAGCCAGGAGGGTTTCTTAATGATCAAATTTCCCGGCTCCCCTCCTCGAACGGCTCACTCTGTCTCCCTGACGGATGGCCGGCGGGGTTCTTCCTGCCGTCAGCTTTGTCAGCTTTGCCAAGCAGGGCCAGTGGGGGTGGAGGGGGGGCTTCCCGGGGAGCACAAAGGACCCTGCACTGCACCCGCCTGCCCTCCCTCCTTCCCCAGGGGATGTAAGTTCTCAGGAGCCCTCCCTTGCCAGGGCAGACGAGGCCTGGCTGCAGCGGCTGGAGGTGGCCCAGGGGACCCCTCCCCGGAGCTCTGCCTCAGGGCTGGCCTGCCAGGGACCCATGCCAGCAGGGGCCAGTGGGGGCTTCAGTGGGGAGAACTCTGGGCTCACAGACTAGCCAGAGATGAGGCAGGCTCAGACCTCCTCGGCACCCTCCCCCACTCATTTGGCAGCCAGATAGACCAAGGCTCAGAGAGGGCACGACGTGGGCCCAGATCACACAGAGCGGCTTGCCAGGAATGGGCCACGTGAGCACGCAGGCCGGGGCGGCCGACCAGCACTGAGGAGGAGAGGGTCTGCGGGGGGTGGAGGGGTGTTGGGTGCTATTTCTGGGTGCAGTTCTCCCATGTGAAGCTAAGGATCACTCTCAGCAGACCTTTGGCTTCTGGAGTAGGACGGAACCTGGGGGAGCCTTGAAACCACCATCTTCTCCCACAGACAGTGCAGTGAGGCTGAGCCAGCCCCACCTCCCTCCCATCACGGGGTGAGGGGTCAGAGGTTCTCTGTGTGGACTGAACGTTTGTGTCCCCCACGAGTTCACGTGCTGAAGCCTGAACCCCCATGTGATGGTATTACGAGGCGGGGCCTGTGAGAGGATTATGTTAGATGGGGTCGTGAGGATGGGGCCCTCGGGATGGGATTGGTGTCCTCCTAAGAAGAGGAGACATCTCCAGAGGTCGCCCTCCCTGCCCTTGAGCAGAAGAAGGAGGTCGTGTGAGCACACACAGAGGGCGGCTGCCTGTAAGCCAGGAAAAGAGACTTCAGAGGGAACCTGCCTTACAGCTCCACGACCTTGACTTTCCCAGCATCTAGCACTGCGGGGAACCAAAGCCTGCTGCGTAAGCCGCCCAGGCCACGACAGCGTGTGGCGGTAGCCTGAGCTGACTAAGACAGGCTCTCGGCACCTTCTCGCCCCGTTCTCCTGGCCTTCTGGGGGCCCTGGGGACTTGCCCCTCACCCCCCCCCCGGGGAGAGGCTGGGGATCGGGCAGGGCCCCTGATGTGGACACGGAAAGGATGGTGGAGAAAGAGAGGTGCCTCAGCGATCCATCCGGGTGGCCCACCTGGGGCTTTCCCCAGGGCCCAGCCCAGCTCATAGCTGGCTCTGAAGGCCCCACACCATGGTCAGGCACGGGCACCGGCTGGCGGGGCCTGGGTGTGGAGTGGGGTGGGTGTTGGCGAGGAGGCGGCCCTCAGAGCCAGGGCCTCTGGCCGGCCGGGGCAGTTTTCCTGGAGGCAGCAGATGGCGCTCACACGAGGGAGGAGTAGGGCAGGCTGCTGGGAGGGCAGCGGACCCAGGGCTTGTTGCCCAAGCATGAGGATCCCCCGAAATGGTGCTGAGAGCTTCGCAGGAGCGCGAATGGGGTGAGGGAGGAGACAGGAAAGTCTGTCCCTAGCCCAGCCGATGTCCTACCACCCATTGCTCCTGCCCCCAGCCTGCTGGCCCCTTAGTTCCTGGCTGAGTCCCCAGCAGTGAGGGATCTGGGCCCTGCCCTTCAGTGTGGGGACCGAGGCCAAACAGGGCCAGGTGGACTGGGTCTCCTGGTCAGAGACATGCTGGGGTCACGAGGTAGGAGGTCAGAGGAGGGTCAAGGTGAGAGGAGGGAAGAGGGAAGGAAAGGGTAGAAGCGGTCTGGAGGAAGCGCGGGGGACAGTTCCTGGCCACACCTCAGAGCCACGCCCAGTCCTGCCCCTCTGGGTCTCCATGCCCCTGGGACCTGCAGGGCTGAAGCTATGCCTGCCACCAGGTCGCCAACCTTTCCAAAGGTCTCACTTTATGGAAACTGCCAAATCAAAAAAGGAGACATTAAGGGGGGCTTTTCACCCAATATCTCCCTAGAGGGTCTTGTAAAGCTCAGACTGGGCTGCTGACGGCCCCTCCCAGGCAGAGGGGCCTGGGGGAGGTGAGGGTGCTGGGATGGGGGCAGGGTCACCACCCTTCCAGGGGCCACCACCCTGGCCACCGGTGTAACAGTGTTTAAGTGTGAGCATGTGTGTGCCTGTGTGTGAGAGAGTGTCTATGCACGTGAGGAGTGTGCAGGGCCTCATTCTCCGCCTCCGGCTGATTGAGCATTTTGAGTCCAATGGAAAAAGATACATTCATTGGTAAAAAGGTAGAAAATATGTAGAAGATAAAAGTTCCCCTGTCCCAGCCCCCAGAGACAACCCTGGCACCGGCTTGGCATGGGGCCAAGAGGACGAAGCCCGGACACACACTTGTGCACACGCACACCCACGCCCCGTACCTTTTCCTAAACGGGACCGTGTGGTACCTGCTGTTCCGTGACTTGCTTCGCTGAGCTGCTGTAGGGCCGAGCCTAGCAGGTGACAAGTCCTCTGTGTCAGCTATTGTCACCACTGGTGGCGGACAACTAGAAAGGCTAAACTTCTCACCTGGTGTTTGTGGACAGTTTTTCGTCCTTTGTGGCTCGCCTGGACACATCCTTTGCCCATTTTTCTCCTGGTGTTTTTGCCTTCTCCTTGTTGGTTTTTAACAGCTCTTTACATATTAAGGTCACCCCACTCTGCACATGGGAGAGTGGGAGTGACTCCCGAGCTGCCTGCAGTGCAGGAAGGAGGGAGAGACCCTGCCGGGGTCCGAGCGCCAGGAGGTTGGCCCCAGGACCCCAGCCTGCAGAGGAAACCTGGAGTCGGGCAGCAGGAAGCGGCGGAGCTGGCAAGGCAGTGGGGGCCGTTGGCAAAGGGAGAAACGGAGTAGGCTCAGAGCTGAAAACAGAGGGTCTGAGTGACGGAGGGTTAATGGGAGGCAGATGGAGGAAACCAGGTTACCCTTGCTGACAGGAGGGAGGTCAGGGGGCATGGAGCTTGCTCAAGACAGGAGCCTGGCGACAGGCCGGCGGCAGGGCCTGGCTCCAAAGTGTGGTGCCCGAGGGCTGGGGCAGAGCAGGGGTCGGCTCCTCCCTGCTGCATGTCCTGGGCCTCTTGGGCCCAGAGCCTGAAGGACCACAGGTCACTCGGGCCCCAGGGGTTGGACAAGCGCCCAAACCTCTCCGAGAAAACCTCTCCATTTCCTTGTCTGTAAAACGACCTGAGACCATCCCCTTCTTCACAGGGTTTCTTGAGATCAGCATGTCAGATATCAGCACAACGCCTGGCACTTTGAGAGGGCTCAGCAAGTGAAAAGTGACTCCTTTTGTCACTGTGCTGGTTTTCCTCCTGGTGGGGCTCTGTCAAGCTCTTGGCTGGCTCCGAGACCGCCAGGGCGAAAGGCCTCCGGCTCTGAGGTGAGGAAACCGAGGCCCAGGGACCACAGGGGGCATGCCTGTCCTCCAAAGAGAGATAAAGGGGCTTTGCACATGTAAGCAAGTTAAGAAGATGTCACGCTGGATTTAGGGGGGCCCTAAATCCAACAACTGGTGTCCCTTGGAGGGAGTGGGAGGTTTGGACAGCAACGCGGACATGGGGAAGCAGGCCGTGGCACAGAAAGGGATGGAGACGATGCTGCCGGGTCCCAGGGGTGCGTGGGGCTGCCCTGGTGGGGAGAGTTCGGGAAGGAACCTTCTCAAGACTCTCTGAAGAGAGCGTGGCCCTGCTGGGACCAGGGTTTCTGACTCCTGGTCCCCGGAACCAAGAGAGGACACGTTTCTGGTGTTTTGAGCCACCTAGTATGTGGCACTTTGTTCCAATGACCTTAGGAAACTAACAGAACCAGGGAAGAAGTGGGGGGACAGTCGGACCAGACCGTCCCCCCAGGTCTGCTCTGGACCCCGTTCTAGAGGGGCCTCGTCCACTTGTGCACTGTGTGCCCTCCGGCGTCGTCACCTGTGCTGTGGGGCGCTGACCCTGGGTCAGCTGAGAGAAGGGCTGTGCAGCGCTGGGGTCACCTGTGGGCTGCTGTGCCATTCGGAACCTTGGGATCAGTGGGGAGGAGGGTAAGACGGCAGGGTGTGGACCCTGAAAACAGAAACGGACACTCCCCACCGCCCAGGGTAACACCTGGGGAGGCTGAGGCACACTGGAGCAAGAGCCCCATCCAGATGCTCATCGTTGCCAGAGAGAAATTTGGGCCCAGGTGCCGGATCTTCTGATTTTACAAGTTAAGCTGGAAATCTCCATTTCTGTGTTGACAAAATTTCCTAATTTCAGTCATGGGGAAGATCCTTCTCTTCTGGATCATGAACCTAGGCAGATGTGTGCTGGGAACCTGAGGTCTCATGCTGGCCGTCCCTGAAGAGGCCTAAACCAGCTGCCCACCCCAGGCCTCCTTGCTCTTCTAGGCAATGGAAGGGGAGGCAAAATGAGGCGTTTTGAGTGGCTGATAGGTGTTTTAATTAGCTTGTCGTTTGATCTGCAAAACAACCTTATAAACCTAAGAATACCAGCGGTGTGCAATTATCCATCCCCTGCTGCATACTTGACCCCACTCGGTCCCCACAGCTGGACCTGGGCAAGCTTTCGATGGGGTGTGCTTGTGAACGGTTTTGCTCTTGTTGGAGGAGGCTTACTGTGCCCATTTTAATGTCTAATGTCTTTAAATGTGACTGTAACCTGATTTCCTCCCCTTGACAACTCTTGCCTCTGGCAAGGTGCCAGGTGGGAGAGACTCCCAAGCCTGCATGGTGGGAGTGGTGGAAGGCCAAGGCTGGGATCACAGGCCTCTTCATAACGGACTTTCCAAAATCATTAAGAGATCAGGGCTCCACAGGGGAGCTCGAGGTTGGGCAGGTTCAAATACGTGTCCCAAAGGAAGATGCCGAAAAGTGGTCCTAGGCTTGGGCAGGCCAAGGCTTGAGTAGGGGCATTGGCGGAGCCCAGCAATGGGCGGAGCTCGGACGGCGCCCAGCGGCCGCGGGCGGGATCGCAGGCGGAGCAGGTCTGTGCAGGGAAGGGGCGAGAGCGCCTCCCGCTGAGATTCCGCTTGGCGGTGAGTCCGCGCCCTTCACTCCGGGGTAGGTCGACCTGACACCTCCCGCTCGCGCGCCGGGTCGCGCCGCGGTCCTCCGAGCCCGCAGGGGCCGCTGTTGCCCAAGTTCATTTCCGGGGTCATAGCGAGTCGGAAGTCATTGCGAGAGTTACTTCCGGCGTGGAGCAGCGGGTGCGGCGGCAGACCTGGCCGGAGAGGGGCTTGGAGCAGAGCAGGCCTGGCTAGTCCGTGGCCGCTCATCGCCCCCGGTCGGTGTCAGAGCCTCGGCAGAAGGTGTGGCAGCCCTGCCGCGCCCGGGGACGCCGCGATGCCATTCCTGCACGGCTTCCGGAGGATCATCTTCGAGTACCAGCCGCTGGTGGATGCGATTCTGAGCTCCCTGGGGATCCAGGACCCGGAACGGCAGGAGCCCCTGGACGGGTAACTCGCTGTCTTCCTGCTGACCCGGGCCGCTCCGACCTGGTTCTGCCTTCTTTTAATTGTCACTACAAGCGGGGCGGGGAGCGGGGTGTCTGTGTCCCCACTGTACAGATAAGAGACAGGAGGGGCCCCCGAGTCGCGCAGCTTCGAGTGCAAGCCGCCCGGAGCAGGCGGTGCAGGAGGGCTGCACCAGTACAAGGAGAGCCGGAGGGCGGGCGCGGTCGGGGCCTCTGCCTCAGTGCCCACCCTTTTGCAACTACACCCGGAGCTGCAAAGGAGTAGGGTGGCATCTATGAAGGCCTCAATTTTTATCCTCAGTGCCAGAATGAACTTCCTGCAGCTGAGTTAGCATTTTATATAAACAGGAGTAGGTTTCTCCGTGAAGCCGTGGGGAAGGTGTCAGAAAGTGCATCATTCAGGGTTATGTCAGGGTACTAAACAAAACCTCTAGCCTTCCTGATGCTCACGCGCCAGAGGAGAGAGGCTGACGATTATGGAAAGTACCTAGGATTTCTGAGGAAAGGGGGATCAGGTGTGTGTTTGCAGGGATCCGTTGGAATTTCACAGTGGTGGTTATGACTCTCTCCGGGGACTTTGGTGGGAACCAGGCTTCCATCAGGGCTGTTCTCTTCACTTTGAGTCTTGTTCTGAGAACGCAGTGCTAGGTGTCTCCTTAACTGTGAGGCTGTTCTGGGGTGGCTGCAGGGCTTATATTTTCATAGTCCCAGAATCTCTGTTTTGCACGGTGGGGCACTGGGCACTCTCCAGGGCTGGGGAGGTGACAGCAGGAGACTAAAGGCCACCCACCCACAGGATGCCCAGGCCAGCTGGGCCCACAGCTGTTCCCACACTCAGCTGATCTGCCTCTCTCTTGCACCAGGCCCAGTTATGTCCCCAGCGAGGAGGGCCGACTCCTTGTTCTCACTGAGCTTCTGGAGAGAAAGGCCCACTCCCCATTCTACCAGGAAGGCGTGAGCAATGCCCTGCTGAAGATGGCTGAGCTGGGGCTGACCCAGGCAGCCGATGTTCTCCTGCGGCATGGGGCCAACCTCAACTTTGAAGGTCGGGGGAACCCCATGGGGCTGGAGTGGGTGGGTGGCTTCAGTGGAACCCTGCTTCCTTCCGGTGGGCAAGCCAGCCCTTTGGGCTCTGCTGACTGTTGTCTTAGAAGCTACACTTCCCTCATTTATTTCCCGGCTGTTGACTAAGGAAACCCACACTGGGTGGCCTCCCATCCCCCCATCTGCTGGGCTTTAAATGGCCCTTTCCACCTCTGGTCCAAGAGCAAGTGTTGCTGCTTCTGTCATGGCATTGACTTAGCAAATCTTCTCGGCTCCCAGCTAATTCCCTGCTTCCATTAATGTAAAAATGCAGCTGCTGGCACTGTGCCCAGAGCTAAGAGAAGGTAGCTCTGCCTCGCACTCTGAGCCATCTTGCATTTTTGTTCCTGCTGTAGGAAGTGGGGGGAAAAGTCACACTGGGCGTACATCACGGGGGGACTGTGTTGGCATCTAGCCTGTAGGTGCTGGCGGAGGGGCAGTGCAGCACTTCCCTCTTTGGCTGCCCCAGGGAGGGCAGGGTCAGCTAGGAGGCTGCAGGGCCAACTTATGACCAAACGGGGGTCTGTGTACTGACCCAGGATGCAGCCGGGCGTGCCTCCTCTCCCCATTTGAGGACAGGCTCAGAGGCTGCTGGGCTGCTGGAGGGTCAGGGGGCTGAGGGCCAGCCAGCTTCTCGAAGCTGCCAGTTTCAGTGTCCTCTCGAGAACCCAGAGGAGATATCGTGTTGTGTGGCCCCATTTTACAGAGAGGAAACGAGCCCAGACAGACAGAGGACACTGCCCCTAGAACGCCCCCAGGACTGAACCTAGGTCTGACCCCAGAGCCTGTGCTATAGCATCCTATGAGGACAACTGTGTTGTGACCCCTCAGGGTGACAGAGCCCGGCCTCCTGTGCTGGGAGTGCTGGGCCCAGGCTGCCAGGCCAGGGCCTAGGCTCCTGCAGGAACGTGCCACCGATAGGCAGGGCTGACTGAGCTGTGTCTTTACCTTAGACCCAGTCACCTACTACACGGCGCTGCATATCGCTGTCCTGCGCAACCAGCCTGACATGGTGGAGCTGCTGGTGCGCCATGGGGCCGACATCAACCGGAGGGACCGGGTAAGAGCTGGGTCCAGCCTACTGTGAAGGGGGGGTGCGGGAGGGAGCCACGAGCGGCCTCCAGGACGACCTGGCTGTGCTTTCTCGGCCCAGATCCACGAGAGCAGCCCCCTGGACCTGGCCAGCGAGGAGCCCGAGCGCCTGCCCTGCCTGCGGCGCCTTCTGGACCTTGGGGCAGATGTCAACGCAGCCGACAAGCATGGTGGGCACCTCCCGTGGGAAAGCAGGACAGCCCCGGGCCTGGGTGCCTTGTGAGGGGAGTGGGGGTACCCAAGGACGACAGGTGGGCAGGCACAGCACAGTCCAGGTTGTGCTCAGGTGACTTGCTCACTTGCAGAGGCTCTGGAGAGAGTGCAGGCATCGGCCCCACGCCAGCCCCAGGAAGGCTTCTGTAGGGGGATGGGGGGTATGCCTGGCTTCTGAGGGAACTGTGTGTCAGATAGCTTCTCAGGGGCCAGAAAAACCCTACCTCCCTTGGCCCTTGCACTCTGATTTGTGTGGGTGGAAAGAGGATGGCCAGAAAGTGGTGGCCCTCAGCCCGAGTTGAGAGGGCAGTCCTTTCCAAAGATCACTTGCTGATCTCCCGCCACCATTGCATGCCCCGCCCCGGGCTCCGCAGCCTCCACCCTCACTGCCTCTCCTCCTTAGGAAAGACCGCTCTGCTCCATGCGCTGGCCAGCAGTGACGGGGTGCAGATCCACAACACTGAGAACATCCGCCTGCTGCTGGAAGGAGGTGAGGCTGGTCCCCAGCTGTCCCCAAGCCCCGTCCTTTCACAGGGTGCTTCGGGTCCTGCAGGCTCTCCCCAAGCCTAAACACTGAGCTACTTTAAGGACGTTGGGGCTTCTCCGACCTTCTGTTCTCCTGTCCGCTCCTCCAGGGGCCAATGTCAAAGCGACCACCAAAGACGGGGACACCGTGTTCACCTGCATCATCTTCCTGCTCGGTGAGACGGTGGGTGGGGACAAAGAGGAGGCCCAGATGATCAACCGCTTCTGCTTCCAAGTCACGCAGCTGCTGCTGGCCCACGGGGCCGACCCCAGCGAGTGCCCGGCCCACGAGTCCCTCACACACATCTGCCTCAAGAGCTTCAAAGTGCACTTCCCCCTGCTGCGCTTCCTGCTGGAGTCCGGGGCCGCCTACAACTGCTCCCTGCACGGCGCGTCCTGCTGGTCCGGCTTCCACGTCGTCTTTGACCGGCTCTGCTCCCACCCCGGCTGTGCCGAAGACGAGAGCCATGTGGACCTCCTGCGCAAAGCTGAGACCGTCCTGGACCTCATGGTGACGAATTCCCACAAGCTCCAGCTGCCTGAGAACTTCGACATCCATCCTGTGGGCAGTCTGGCAGAAAAGATCCAGGCCCTTCACTTCTCCCTGAGGCAGCTGGAGAGCTACCCGCCACCCCTCAAGCACCTGTGTCGCGTGTACATCCGGCTCTACCTCCAGCCGTGGCCCGTGGATGCGAAGGTGAGGGCCCTCCCTCTGCCCGACAGGCTGAAGTGGTACCTTCTCAGTGAGCACAGCAACCCCGTCGAAGACGACATCTGACTACCCCCGGACTGAAGGGGCCAGGTCTGGGACCCTCTGTCAACCTGCCGGTGGACCTGAGTACCCGTGGCTGTCTTAGAGGGGACCTTCAGCCCTCCCTGTCCAGGAGGTGCGGGGTGAAAGGAGACCAGACCCTTAGTGTGGAGAAGGCCAGGTGGAGCCCGGCCGCTGTGGTCATCCCAATGGGGAGAGGCTGCCTGTCTGTCGGGGAGACTGCCCCTTCCCTGGGGCAGCACCCCCAGGTTCTCAGCTCACATTGGCAGAAATGACAGGGTGCGGGTTTGGGCCGAGTTTGAAGGGACTGCTGGGCATTTCCAGAAGTGGGGGAGCCCTGAGCCCAGGTCCTCAGCTGAGAGCTGCATGGAGACAGAGCTGAAGCCAAAAGGAAGCTGGGAGGCCTTTGGGGTGCAACCCAGCCAAGATCCTTCCCTCCACAGAAGTGTATGTATCAGTGGGCTGGGGAAAGAGCTGAGTGGCTTGCTGCTCTGGGGTCAGGACACCTGTGGCCCCGCCCACCAAGGCTCAGGGCCCGTACTCTGTGCCAAATCCAGGGTCTTGGGGACCACCCCTTCTGCTAAAGAAGCAATCGTGTGACCAGGGACAGCCCTTTCCAAATTGTCCCGTCTGATGGAGAAAGTAACCAGGACGGAAAGCCAGCCATGCCACTCAGTGCAGAGTCCCCACAAAGCTCTTTTTGTCACATTGGTGGTTAAGAATTATGTAAATGCCTTGGAAGGCAACTAAATGACATTTATATTACCAAATCAAACTGGTTTCTCTTGGCCTCAAAGGTCCTTGCTAACACTCTTGCCCCCCAGTTGGGGTGAAGGGCCGCATGACGGCCAGCAAGAGGGTGGTAGGCGCAAGCAGACGCTGCGTTCGGGCCGAGCAGCCAGCACTCGTCTGGGAAGGAAGGCACTGCTCCAGACTGGCGGGGCCCTCACTGCACGGGGGCTCAGCATTTTTAGTTTTTAAAGGTTTATTTTTCCTCATTCAAGGTGGGGGTTGGGGGAAAGGGAGAGCAACATCCATGCGAGAGAGAATCGCCAATAGGCTGCCTCCTGTGTTCCCCAACCCAGGACTGGGCGTGTGCCCTGACTGGGAATCAAACTAGCGACCTTTTAGTTACAGGATGATGCTCCAACTGAGCCACACATGCCAGAACAGTGTTACCCTTTTTTATTTTGAAATGAAATGCTAGCCAAGCAGGAGCCACAAGGCGTAGCCAAAATGAGGTTACAGACCTCTCTCCTTGCCTGTAGGCTGCTGTGACCACCACTAGGCCCGGTCACCAGCTGCAGGTACCACAGTGCAGCCGCTCCAGCAGCCGCCCCTCCCCCCAAGGTAGTGTCCTCTACCAAGTTAAGAGGGTTCTGCCTTCTGAAGGCAGCCAGCTAGTGCCTGGAAGGACTGGCGATGGCAGCGGTGGGATCCAGGGTTCTGCCCAGTCCCCAGCTGCGGCAGCAGGGCCAGGTTCCTGCCCCGCTGCCTGTTCAGCCGTACTCCCCAGTGGGTCCTATTATTTTTTAAAAGAGCCTATGTGGAAGGTGAGTGGATGGCAGGCAGGCATATCCAGTGCCTCACTCAACACTTGCGAACCATCGACGTGGATGGAGCCTCCAGGTAGCATGCGGCCACCAGCTCCCCGCCCTGCACGGGTCCCGCTTCCTCCTGCGGCTGTCATCTCAGGGCCAGGCTGTACACGTGGTAGATCTCATCGGGCAGGTTCTCCTGCCGCTCCTGGGCCAGGAGGCTGAGGCCTGCGCTGCGCACGATCCCATGCACCACCTCCAGGTCCCGGCACACACTGCTGTCCACGTCGTCCAGGATCACGCCTTCCTGGGCCATGTTGTCCTTGATGACGATGATGCCGTTGGGGCGCAGGCCCCGCTTGCAGCGCCGCAGGAACTCGGCGAGGTGCTGATCGGTCAGGTGGCCTGTGGGGGCAGGGGCAGGGGTGCTGCGGAGGGTGCAGGCGCGGACACCCCGCTGGGCAGTCCCTTCAGCCACCCCTTCCTGACTTAGCTGAGCACGCACTTCGTGCTTCACACCAGGTCGGCAGCCTGCAGGGGCTAACCGAACGAACCCCAGGGGTGATCATGAAGCATGCTGCTGGGATTTCACCCTGACTGGGTGACTTCCAGGCCATGCCTGACACCTAACACCACATACACCCACCCCTCCTAGGCCCGGACCAGAGGGGACCAGACTTCCCTCCACACACTGAAATGCCAGAGTACGGGGCCAGGCCCAGCATGTCCCAGGAGGGCAGTGTTTCCCGCCTTGGAGTGGGTGGCTGAGCATGGGGACAGCGGCCCAGAGGAGCACCTGGGTGTGCTGTCAGCCTGGGGGCGTGCAGGACAGGACGGCAAAGCCAGGCTCCTCACTGCCAACAGCAGGGACTGCCACAGTGTCCGTGTTTCCCCCTAGTGAAGGCCCTCTTTTATAAAATCTGTCCATGTTCTTTGTAAGGTAGTTAATGGGTCATGTAAATGTTTCAACAAAAACCTGCCCCCCCCCCCCCCGCCCCAGTGCGCTGCAGCAGGTACTGAGTTAATGAGTTAAACCAACATGGAGGGAGAGGCACTTTCCAGGTGGCGAGCCCCACGGTCCAGGGAGCGCAGGGCAGACGAGAGGAACCCTCGCCGAGGGAGCACTGGCTCCAGGACCTCGGGGGGCTGCAGTCTCCACAGTGGGAGACAGGCAGGGCCAAGGAGACGGGCGGCAGTGGGGCACTCACCTATCACCCACTGGATCCAGATGACATCGTAGGAGTCGGGCTCAGGGCTGAAGTCCTGGAGACCGCAACAGAAGTAGTTCCTCACCCTCTTGCCCTCCTCACCCAGGTAGGTTTTTGCTTTAACCAGAAAGTCCTCCGTCACATCCACCATGTCCACCACTCGGAAGAGGGGCAGGAGCAGCCGCTTCGTGATCCTTCCAATGCCAGCACCACAGTCCAGGGCACAGGAGGTCCCCGTCTTGTTCGGGCCTTCCTGGAATGCAAAGAAAGGGGGTGGGGGTCCCCATCATGCCAGGGGCCCCTGGAAGTGATCAAATCTAAATGGGGCACAGGCTGGCAGCTGGCACCAGTGGGGACATCATGGTGGGAACGTGACCTGAGGGGCATTCACGTCCGCTCCTGACATCCCATTAATGTGGCAGCACAGAGAGTGAAACGACTCCATCAGTGAGGGAACAGAAGAGGGTAATCGGTAAGCACGCGGTTTTAACCAACTTGGGATGATGGCAAGGGGGCAGAGGAGAGACGGGGGAGATTGGTGGGGGGCGGGCAGCAGCCTCCCTGGTGCTGAGGGAGAGACAGGAAGGGGACAGGGTCAGGGAGGCTCCAGCCACCAGGAGAAGTGGTGGGCAGAGCCTGCCTTCAGCAGAACAGCCAATGGCCAGGGCCCAGATGCCCACGCACATGGCCAGAGAATCCCCCTGAGCCACAGCCAGCTCCTGCCTGGTAACCTTGAGGCCCGGTCCATAGTCCACGTGCCGCCCCCTGCCCTTTGTTCGAGGCATGGGTGGCAGACAGTAACAAACGGCCTCAGACCCTTCCTGGAACAGGGAAGACGGGCGCCAGCCACACCCTTTCCTCCTGCAGAGCACCCACACCTGCCTACCCTCAGAAACCTCTGCAGGAACTTCCGGGAGCTGCCGATGTCGATGCTGGAGATGTGGCCATACCCCCCGAGCATGCCGTCCACCGTCGGCGGGACCTCTTTCCAGTACATCTTGGCCTTCGAATAGAATTGTTTCTCGTCTTCTATCACCTCGCTCGTCATGCTGCTGCCGACGTGTCTCCGCCCAGACACGGACTCAGCAGTGGCCCTTCCTGAATAAACGAGAACGAGTCAGCCAGGTGGAGGGCCCTAGCCTCACACCTTGCATCGCGGGCCACACAGTCCAGCCTGGCACAGAGGGACATCCAGTGTCCCCCAACCTGCTGCTACCCTTTGGAGGGCAGTGCCGGTTTCTTGCACTGAAGTCCTTTTACAGACCTATCGTCATGTCAGAGCCATGTCATGGCTTCTAGTGCTCCCCTTACTCTGCAGGACACCTGGCACAACGGCTTCTGACCCAGGGGGAAAGAGAATCTGACCTTCACTGCAGAGGAAGGACCCGCAGCAAGGAGCCCAAGCCTGCTACGGTGGGTGGGGCCTGGGAGGGGCCTGGACTGTCCCCACACCTCCCTTCTCATTCGCCAGCACAGAAGCTAGCTCACTGTGGGGACCGTCCCTCATCGACGATCTGCCAGGACTCTGTAGGCACGTGCTGCAAATGGGGAGCCAGAATACAGCTAGATACAATCCCACTGTGAGGGCTGTGACATGCAGGACACCAGAAGAGGTGACACCCAGGGGCTGCCTCCAGTGGGGTCAGATGCAGCCGAGGGTGAGGACGTGCTCTTGAAGCAAGCAGGACAAGCTCTGGAAGAGCGCAGGCAGGGCCCTTGCAACTGGAAACTCCAGGCCCTTCGGGTCCCATGTAGTAGTTTACATCTCACCCTAAAGAGCGATGGGCGAGCAGTGGGACAACTCGGGGCTAAGCAGGGAGCGACACGAGAAGATGTGTGTTTCTGGAAGACAGTGTTGGCAGCCGTATGAACTGTTGGGGCAAAGGGAAAAAGCAGACACTGATGGGAGCGTTACCATATGGACAGAGGGGGACCACCAAGGAACAGCTGGGCACTTGCAGAGAGCTCAGGCCCCCCACGCTGGCCGGAGGGTGGCTCAGCAGCCCCACACTCAGCCTGCCAGCCCACCTCATACCCGAGAAGGACCCAGGATCCCCTCGCTACCCTGGGGCACTGGCACATGTTCCCCCCACACAAGCACTGTTCTACCTTCTGTGAGGCTTGTGCACTTCAAGTCCGGCCCCCACCCTGGAGAGCCTGCCGTCCAATAGGATAGACAGGGCAAAAATGAACCCGACTAAAACACAGGGAGAAATTACAAGGACTGTCACTGGGCCAGAACGAGCCGTGGACACTCAGAGGATGGAGGCATCCTTTCCGAATGCGCAGCAGCCGAGAGGAGGGGGCGCAAAGATGCAGCAGTGTGTTTCTCTGGTGCCCTGTGTGGCGCATAGGTGTGCACAAAACCTTCACTTCCCATTAAATGAACAGAGTAAATCGGGGGCCAAACACTCACCTGGCTCTACTCTCTCTGCCTATCTGTTCACCTTGCCTCCCTGCCATGTAAGCCCCCCGAGGGCAGGGTCATTACTCTGAACACCATTAGTCCTGCACCATTAGGAGTGGCACAGCCGCATGGCTGGGAAGGGGCTGGAGTGCAGCTGGGCTTCGTGGGCCCTCCAGGCTAGCCCCCAGGGGAGAACAGAAACCCTTGGCTCACAGTGAATTCCTGCTCCTCAGGGGGTAGGGTGTGTCTGCTCATCCTTTACGGTCATCCACCACCTTCTCCTCCCCCTCCAAGGTGTTTAGGGGAACACCTGCTACCCCAGCTACTTCCCCCTGCCCGGGATCCATGGGAGAGAAGGGTGCCCATCACCGCCGGTGCCTGGAAGAGTCACCACAGTCTCTAAGAGAAAGCCTGGATGCAAAGGGAGGCCAGGGCCTGGCTGAGGTTACCTCCTCCTCCTTGCAGCCTGCTGGCCTGGGCCTGTTCTCCTTGGGTCCCTGTGTCTGCAGCTGGACATAGGAGAATGGCAGCGTGCTCTGTGAAAAGGCAGGGGAAGGAGGGAGGGAGGAAGAAAAAAATTAGGGGAAAGTGTTAAGAAACAAACAAAGGCTCTGATGGAGCCAGGGGCACCAGGTCTGAATCGGGCTCTGCTGCTCGCAGCTGCTCGAGCTCTGAAAAGACACTTAACCTCAGGGACAGAAGTCCCTCACCTGTAAAACAGGAGCAGCAGTGCTAACTTTAGGGCAAGGCCTTGCGATGAAAGGTGGGCAATAAAAGCATAAAGCATAGATTACTTCCGACTTAGAAATCTCTAACAAATGGGATCCTCGTCAATTATCTCTGCCAACTGTGAAGGTCAACGAGACAAACGCAGGGAATTGCCCTGTGTGCTGAGGAGCATTGGACACACCAAAGGGATTATCACTGACATGCTGGGTGGTGGGTCACTCCAGCAGCCCCAACAGCACTGGGCGTGCAGGGAACGGAAGGAAAGGGAGATGTGAGGCCGAGTCCTCCCAGGGGTCACACATCCCACGGGCAATGATTCTGTACATCCAGACCGGCTGCACTGCCGCCCCACCCCGTGGCACCCGGGCCTCTGGCCCCACCGTTTCTTTCTACCCCTTAGGAGACAGCCGGCAAAACGAGCGTCCTGAGAGGGATCACACAGCGGACAGGCAGAAAAGCCAGGCCTTTCGGTGTGACAGCTTCTCCATGCACAGGCTGACCTTGGCTCCAAGGTCTCCCGGCGGCGAACTGTCCTTTGCACGGCCCCTGGGTCGGGCCATATCTGGGGCGGGGTCGGGGTGAAACACGATAGCGACTTCTCTGTCAAGGGCACTGCCTCGCGCCCGGCTCCGAAGTGAGCATTTTACTGAATCCTGGCACCCACCCTCCGAGTGCGTGCGGTCCTTACCCCCGTTTCTCAGACGGGACACCGAGGCTGAGAGAAGGGAAGGGGCTTGCTGCGGCCTGGGGACCGGCGTTGGGGGGGTGCCCTGCCCAGCCTTTGGGTGCCCCGACCTGCCTCCGCGACCCCCACCGAGGCCCGAAACCTTCCCCGAGCGCGCACGTGCGGCCCTCAGGGTCTTCTTAGCGCCAGGTCACCTAACGAGCCGGGGCCGCAAGGCGCCGAAGGCAGTCGGGGGTCAAGGCCCCCCCTCACCCGGCGGCCGCCGCCCCCACTGTGCCTCGCGCTACTCACCCCGGGCAGGGACTCCCGGGACCCGGAAGAAGAGGACAGGGCTAGAGAAAGAGAGGGCGGCGGCAGAGAAGAGCCCAGAAGCTCACAGCCACCTAGGTCAGACCAGAACCAGACAAGACACCTCGCGGCGCGCGCTGCCTTTGTCCGCTCGCGTCAGTTCCGGGTGCCCGGGGGCGGGACCTGGTTGGCTCCGCCCCGCGCCGGCTTGCCCCGCCCCTTGGGCTCGTGACCTAAGTTGACTTCTGCGTCGTCTCAGGAAGGTGGACGTGGGGGTGAGAACAGGCGCAAGCCGACCCTCTACCATTTCCAGCAGTGGCACCGGTTCATTTGGAGGCTCAAGGCTGGACTTTTAAAAACGAGTGTTCTGTAAGCTTTCCACTGGGTAAAGTGGAGGGGGAGGCTTTCCCCCTCAAATTCCATGCATAACAATTAGCATGTAAATACAGATCCAAAGAGGAAAGAAGAAAAAAAAAAAAAAAACCTTGGCAGTGCCAAGGGGTTGCCATTCCAAATGAGCATAACAAGTCCATGAAGTTTCCATTTCAAAAAGACTGCCCTTTGCCCTGGCTGGTGTAGCTCAGTGGATTGAGCAGGGGCCTAAGAACCAGACAATCGCGGTTGGATTCCCAGTCAGGGCACATGCCTGGATTGCAGACCAGTTCTCTACAGGCTAGTTCCCAGCAGGGGACGCACGAAAGGCAACCATAGATTGATGTTTCTCTCCCTCTCTCCTTCCCTTCCCCTCTAAAGATAAAGTCTTAAAAAAAAAAAAGACTGTCCTTCTTTATGTTCCTCCCATATAATAGAAATTTTGGCGTTTCCGGCAGCCTTGATGGAAATGGGAGTTTGCTGGTAACTCGCCGTGGAGCAGCTCCCCAAGCCTCATTCTCCTCTCCTGCCAGGCAGGTATAATACTTGCTCACCTCCAACTCCCGGAGGGTTAGATGTGTGGGACATTGCAGTTCGAGGCTTCAGCCCTGCCCTTGCAGCCATTATCGTGACTAATGAGAGTAAATGACAGAAAACTGTACTTGAACAACAATTAATAAATAAATTTTTTTTTAAACCTTTATATGTGACCTTTTTCCATGTGGTCAAAAGAACATTTAATAAGACAATTACTTAAACCAAAAAATAATAATAATGACGATATCCATCCTAAGACACGTCCTAAACTGACACCCTAGTCTTAGATTGTCAGCCCCTTCCTCTGAGTGTTGCACACAGGTGGTGCTTAAATTGTGTTTGCTTTAATGAGGTGACAGCTATGTGGTGGACAGCCCCACCTGTGGAGTCCCCCAGATTTGTTTATGTTCATATTATTTGGCATCCTCTCTGGAGTACTCCAAGTCAGACTTGGGTCCCCTTTCAGGCTTCATCTTCCACATCCCTAGGGGAAAGGAATAATGGGTAATGTCAATTGCCTGGGTGTCTATCATCTTATTTTGGGGGCTGCTCTGAGTTTAGCTGTTTTGGAGGTTCCTAAAAATCCACTCCTGCTTTTATTTCCTGTCCACAGAAAAGGAAGTCCCCTCCCTACACCGTGACCCTCAAGGCCTTTCCAAGTCTGGCCAGCCCCCAACCCCCCAAACCTCAAAGTCTCTTGCATTTCTGAATTCCCAAATCTTGAACATAGTAGCTGCTCAATCAACATTCATAGCAAGGTAGGGCTGGAGGGCTCCTTAGAAGTCATCTAGTTAGTCTGGTGTTCCTCATCCATTTTTAAAAAACTAATGTATCCTTAAAATAAATATCAGCCCTAGCTGGTGTGGCTCAGTGGATTGAGCACCAGCCTATGAACTAAAGAGTCACTGGTTCGATTCCCAGTCAGGGCACATGCCTGGGTTGTGGGCCAGGTCCCCGGTAGGGAGCAGGGGAGAGGCAACCACACATTAATGTTTCTCTCCCTCTCTTTCTCTCTTCCTTTCTCTAAAAATAAATAAAATGTCTTTAAAATAAATATCAAACTTTCTCACTTTCCCCACTCCATATTCTAACTTCCCAAAGAGGTATCTCCTCCTGTCGCTGGCTGAGGGGTGTTTGCAGGAAATGGACACACCCTCTGTGTCTCCTCCTCCAGGCAGATGCCTTGTAACTGGATTTACAAAGCTTGGGTTTTTTTTTTTTTAATTTTCAAATTATGAAATTATACCATGCCAGTGAAGTTACTGGTCCAAATTACCTTTGTTCCTCACTCAAATTTCACAGTTCAAGCCTTCTCCTGACAGTACATTTTCCCATGAAGCCCCGACAAAGAAGGGACTGGTCCGTGGTTGCATAGCTCACAGAGGCGGATCAGGGTCCCCAGGCGGATTCTCTGGGACTCCGAGCCCACTGCCCTGATGCTGCCCAACCTTCCGCTGCAAGTTCTCCGTCCAGAACCACCAGCCCCAGCATGACCTACCTGGGCCTCCCTGATCTGGAGGAGGGGGTAACTGAACCCTGGGCCCTCCATCCCCGCGCAGGCGTGGCTGCTCCGATCGTGAGTTCCCCCACCTGGTGACTGCAGCCTTGGTATCCTGAGCACAACTGCCCCGCCCTCTGTCCCCAGGCCTCAGTGCCCACTGCTCTTCAGGTAGCCTTGGGTGAGGGGCGGATCACAATGACCCTGAAGAGGCCCTGAAGTGGCAGGGAGGGGCCAGCAGAGGGACCAGGCTGGGAAGATGGGGTCTCCCAAGCACCAGCCACCTGCTGAGGGCTCTAAACTCCCTGGGACCTTCTCCTTCCCCACCCCCAAGGCGCACTAGGGTGAGTGGCACTATTAGGAGCCAGCTCAGAGCTGACAGCCTCTGGGAGCGGGGTGTGGTAAGGAGGAAGCAGGCTCTGAGACCCCCAGAGTCAGGATCTGGGGACAGGTCTGGGGTTCTATCTCCTAAAGGGAAAGTTTGTTAAAAGTATGTGTCTTAGCCCCGCCCACACCTACTGCTGTATTTTGCTGTTTATAATGTATTCCCGTATATAAGGCACACCCATGTTTTTGGCCCAAACTTTCAGAAAAAAAACTTTTTTAATTCTTAATTTTATTTGTTTGTTTGTTTATATTTAGAAAGAACCAATTATCATATTCCAGGGTATTATTTAGCATATGGATATTGTTATTGCTTTCTAGAGTTAACTTTTTAAAATTTAATGGTTCAAGTACAGTTTTCTGTCTTTTACTCCCGTCCCAGCCAACCCCTAGAGTTACACATTTAAGGCATAAGCATAAATAAAAGAATTAAAAACATTTATATAGACACGGAATTAGTACTACCCATGTATAATGCGCATCCTTATTTTCCCTTCAAAATTTTGGGCAAAAATGAGCATTATACATGGCGAAGTGCGGTAAATCAGAATCTGGGGCATCTGCGTTTTTGAGGAGCTCCCCACCCCCGCGTGGGGGTGGGGAGGCCCCAGCAGGAGGCAAGTACTGAACAGCTCTCTCCCTTCCAGCTGGTTCCAGGTTCCCTCATTCCTAGCAGGGCGAGTGTTAATAACAGTATCAGCCTCCAGGACTTGACACTCCAATGAGGGAAATGCTCCCTACCACGTGACCTGAGGCTATTTCACTCACCAGGGGGCGGGGCTCTGCTATCCCCACTTCACGGATGAGCCGCTGAGAGTTCGTCAGTTGGCTCGCTACAGGTCACAAAGCTAGTAAGTAGTGGAAATGAGGCTAAATTCTAAATAATTATTTTTAAATCCTCATCATAATAGCAGCTAGTGTTTGTTGAGCACTTGCGATGTGCCCCACGTTATTCTAAGCCTTTACGTGTGCTGGCTCATTTCAACGTCACAGCAACTCAAAAAAAGGTGGGTGCTCTTGCCGTCACCACCCTCCAAGTGAGGAAACAGAAGCCGGCGAGCTCTAGTTGGAAGCCACTCGGTGTCTGGCAAGCCCGGGATGTTACCCCCAAACCAGGCTGCCTCGCCCTGGGCACGATGGCCCTGGGGCTGGTGTGTGCCCTCCTCGCCACTGCACACGGCAACCCGCGCCCCCACTGGTGTGAGGATGCCCTGAGCTGATTACAGGCCAGACATGCCCTGGCGTCACCCCAACCTCCGAGCCCAGCAGGTGGCGCCCAAGGGGTTTTCTGGCGAAGGCTGGCGCCGAAGGAGAGACCTGGGGCAGCCGGGGCTGCCTCCGCCTGAGCTCCGATCAGCGCCCGGCACGTGGAGATCGCGGGGCCCCAGGGCCTCGAGGGGCAGCGCTGAGTGGTGGCCGGCCTCCAGTGGCGAGTCCTCGCTCACAGAGCCAGGGGCGGATGTCTGGAGTTCCCGGCTGCGCCTGCCCCCTCTGCCCACCATGGCCCCGCGGGCGACGCGGAGCAGGACAGGGCTGAGGTCACTGCTGCAGCCACCCCGACACCACAGGCCTCAAGAGTGCGAGGACTCCAGGAGGGGCTCGGCCAGGAAGACCCCGGGCTCCTTGGGCTCCTTCCTAGGAGAGTTCCTCCCTCGCAGGTTCCGGGAGTTCCTGAACCAGCTCGGTGCAGAGTGGGTTGAACAGCCACAGCCACCGCCACCGAGTGAGGCCCTGCCTGGTCCCCAGGGGGCTGGGCGAGGGGGCTGAGTCGTTTCGGGTGGGGAGGCCCGTCACCTTTCTAAGAATGACGCTAATGTTAGTTGAGTTCCTGGCAGAGTCCCGACAGCCATGCTTGGGGGCGGGTCTACCACTGCCCATCTTGTAGGAACGAGGAAACTGAGGCCCAAGACCATAGAACTAGGAAGACCCTGGTAAGGGCTGTCCCCAAACAAAGGCTCACAACTGTTTCCATCTCCTCCTGGCTCCCAGCATCCTCAGAATCGCCACATCAGAGGGGTGCATCAGAGCGCTGGGAGGGACCGTCCCCTCCGAGTCCCAACCGCTCCTTCCTCCCGGACTCGCGGTAAGCGTCAGGGGCCTGCTGAGGGGTCAGGGTTGCCATCGATGCTCCAAGGGTGGGGACCCTGACCACTCATGCCAGATGTGGCCTATTTGTCTTCAAGGTGCCAGTCATTGAACTTCCAGAATAGTCTTAAGAAGAGTTCACTTGATCATATACCTAGCCTGCGGCCTCTGAGGAGAGATCAAGAACAATTCATCAAGGTCAAAAAGGCCAACAGGTGAGTTCTGGGAGGATGGGGGTTGGGAGGGAGGAGAAAGCATTTCTCTGTTTCCTTTCTTTCCTCTGTCTTTCACCCAGGAATTTACCTATTTATCCATCTATCCGTCCATCTGCGTGTGCATCCATGAATCAGGTCTCCTGCCAAAGCAGTCATAACCCACCTGTGAATCCACCCATCCTTCCATCCATCCACCACGCCGTCCACTCACCGTCCCATCATTGCACACACCCATCCATGAATCAGGTTTTCTCCCAACACATTCAAGAATCATCCATCAACATCTGTGAATCCATCCACCCATTAATTAGCTCTTCCACCAACATGTTCATAATTCACCCATTAATCCATTTGAATTTTCATTTTCCCCTTCACCCATCCACCTTGTATACATCTTAACCAGGAATGAGGTCTTCTACACCCTATTCAGGAATCCACCCATCCATCCATCCATCCGCCCATCTAGTCAGTCAGCCATTCATCTGTTCACAAACTCCCACAATTTTATCCGTGGACCCAACGTGTAGATCAATCACCTGCAAATCCTTCTATCCACTTACAAACCCAGGGTACTAGCCACCTCTGATCTAGTCATCAAGCCATCTGCAAGTCGACATAGCCATCCACGTGATTGTTCATCCACCCATCCACGTAATCATACATCCACCCATCCTCCTAAGACCTAGTTCTTCCATCCAGACCTTTTCACTAATCCAGCCATCCACCTACCCACCCACCAGTCTTCCATCCTTTTACCCATTCCACCATCCGATCATCCATGTCTTCGTCTAACATTTATTACATTTTATTTTATGTTGAATATTGGGGGAAAATAAAATAAGGGATGGAGGCAGGAGAAGAAACCATAACTCTGATGGAGGAGAGAACAAATGCAGAAAAACATCTTCCAGCTTAACCAGGCGTAAACAGGGGTGAAGGGTGAAGAGCGATGAGCAGGGGTTTAAAGACCAGCCAGAGTAAATACCCGACATATGCGCCATTCCTTCTAATCCTGCACCCATGGCAGACAGTACTAATTGATTACAGCACTTCTCCCCACTGACACCATGCTCCAGGCAGACACTGCTGATGCATCAGAGTAGGAACCAGAAATGAAACACATTTGCCAGGCCAGGAACTTTAAATCACTCCGGCCAGATAAACACGCCACTCCTCGAGAGACACAATAAAGAAATGTACAGCTCTCAAGGGCTCAACTGTGAGAAGAGCAGGGACGTTTACATTCTCGGTGCTCCATAGTCAACAGCTAGTACTCGAGCACCTTCCAGAAGATTCCCTGGTGGGCCTTGGGGTGGGGGGAGTGCGGGGTGCATTAGAACAGGCTCCAGCAGCCTTTGAGAGAAGCTGAGATTTCAGAGCATGGGCAGAGCTGAGATGCCTTGGCCCGGCCCTGAGTGCAGCACAGAGCGGGCATAGCTGTGCCAACTTCTGCCTGCCAGGCTCTTTCGTGGGCTGATGCAAAGCATCCCTCCACACAGGCGGGAAGATGTGGTCAGATGAACAGGCACAGATGTAGCAATGCCTATGTACCTTCGGTCAACCATGGCCTTTTCTGAGTCACAGAACCATGGATGGATCAGGCAGGCCCTCATGTAGCCTTGGCCTTGAGGACAATATTAGCAACAATACATGTAACAATAACAGATCCCTTCTATTGAGCACAGAGCCTGGGCTAGATGCTCCACACGAGCTCTTTGATACTCACCAAACTCTTATAAGGATGCTATTATCATGTCTATACTGTATAATCATTTAAAGGGGAAACTACAAGGGGAGGCTCAAGGACTGTCCCCCAGAGAAATCGAGGCTGGTAATTACAGTAAGAACAGCTCCCAGTTAGAGATGTTCACCTTCGGCCCTGCAGACCCTCGGTGGGGTGCTCTGCCGTACATTCCACCTCCTCACAGCCCTGGCTGGTGGGCAGGACTGGGGTCCACTGCAGGGATCAGAAAACCAAAGCTCAGAAGACTGGAACTCGAAACCCAGAACCACGTGGCGCCTGAGATGCTACCTTTGTTCCCTCTGCGGAAATGCCAGTACATAAGGGTGCCGGCTCTGGAACCAGGATTCAAAGCCTGGCTCCATCTGTCGTCGGCTTTGTGACCTTGGGCACGTTGCAAAACATCTCTGTGGCTCAGTTTCCTCATCTGTAAAATCGGAACAGTCACAGTTTGTCACGGAGGTGTGCGGGCTGGGTGGGGCTGCGGGCTCCTGCCTGGCACACAGGAAGTGCTCGGGGAAAGGCCAAGGGCCGTGACCGTGAGGGTCACACGGTGAGCTCCAGTCTGGTGGATGTGACCTGTTGGGGTGGAGGGGGGCTCAGGGGGCTCGGGCCCCAGCCCCCCCAACTCTCGCCTCTTTCTGCAGGCCCCACGGTCTCGGGGTGCCCAAGCTCAAGGCCGAGCTCACCCACAGCTCCTCGGAGGAAAGCTCGGGGCACCACCGGCGGTGCAGTCCCTTCCGAGTGCGGTTCGCTGACGAGACCGCATGGGACACGGCCTTCCGCTACTGGGAGCGCAGCCGTGCACGTAAGCAGACGGGACAGGGAGCCCCAAACTCCAGAAAGCTCCAGCCTGCACCTGGGAGAGCAGACCCTGTGGCCCTGGGTGCGGGGAGGAAGGCACCAGCCCACAAAGGCCAAAAGGCCGCCAAGCCCGCAGAGGAGGCACCTGAACTGGCCCCTCTGGAGGTGTCAGGGGGACCTTTGAGGACGAAGTCGAGGGTCCGAGGTCCGGTAGAAGTGTCCCAAAGCAGGTGGCACCAGGCAGCAGCCACAGCGTTGGACCAGGAAACCATGGCTGCCCAGACCTGGCCACCGCGGAGGGACTTCTCGCCCCCAGGGTTCTCACGGGCCACATCTGCCCACCCCAGAACCGGTGCCCACAGCCTTCCGACCCGTATCTGGCTCCTTGTACGGCTTGCAGGGGCTGGTGACGGTGGGAAGGTGGCAGAAGCATCTTCCAGTATTTGTGAAAGCCGGGTTGGATGAGAGGGTGTCGAGAAAGTTCCAGAAGATTAGGGAAGACCAGCACCACCGGGTCTGGCAAAGAAGCTAGGAACCAGCAGGCCCGGGTCTGCGGCAGACATCTGCTGCCCGCTCCCCCACGACAATGGAATAGTCTGTCCGCTGGGGCGTGGTTTCCAGCGGAGGTCAATGAAGCTCCCTTTCTCCGCCTTCCCGGCCTCTTCTCTCCTCAAGGTCCAGCAGCGACCCTGGGGGCCGTAACCTCCAACAGTCAACAGTCTGCATCTAATTTTGTGAGCACCTACTAGGCGCAGTTTCAGGACACAGCTGCCCAGAGTCTAGCTGTAGGGAAAGCCCTAAAAATGAGGACTCTCACTGACTCAGGGGGATCCTGAGGGTCCCAGGACACTGCAGAGAAGCTGTGATGTTGCCCAACTTTTGATTGCTTGATGAGGACACCAAGGGCCTGAGCAGAGGGCACAGCCACCAAGAAGAGATGCCACAGGGGCCCCGGCCACTCCGGGCACCCAGGGGAAGAAGGCACCTGGAGAAATAGTCTTGTGTAAATGGCGGATGTCCCACACAGGAGAACTCCCTGACCAGCCACAGTTCAGGGGAACTGCGCCTGCGCCCCAGGGTGCCAGACTTGGGGCTCTGCGGGTGGTTCCCAGCCACTTCCTTCCTCAGGATTCCCGACCAGTCGGAAGGGCCTCTGTTGGTTGGGCAGGAAGTTCTCCATCCCCCGGAAACCCCTCCATCCCATGGGAGAATCCATACCCCCCAAACCTCCATTGTGGGGTGACTGGCCTTCCCATGGTAGAAAAGGGGGGCCATTTAGGGCTAGAGCAGGAGTAGTGTGGAGATATGGGGGCAGATTGGGTAATAAAGGCAAAAACAGTCACACAAGAGAGTTTTAAAACCGGAACCTTCTCTGGAGGTAGCCAGAAGGCGCCGGGGAGCCTTGGGTTTCCATGGAGACCGGATCTGCCAGGCTTGCCTGCCAGAGGGGAAAGAGGGGAGAGCTGGGGGGGGGGGCTGCCCCCTCCCTCAGGAGCGCTCTCACAGTGCCCTCTCTCCTGCAGTGCAGCAGGACGTCACCGTCACCGAGAACAAGCCAGCCACCCAGTCGGAGGCAGCATCGGAGCGTGCGCTTGGGAGCTTCGGGAGATGGGTGGAGAGTCTGCCCGAAGCTCTGGACTCCCAGGCCAAGGAGGAGGCCGCAGCCAGCTCCCTGTCCAGCTGGAACAGCCCCAGCCTGTGAGGCTTCGGGGAAGGGCTGGGTTCCCATGCATTGCCAGGGCTCCCCCTCCTCACCTAGTTGAGCTCCTAGTCCGAGGTCCGCCCAGCTGTGGGCAGGCCACGGGCCTGGGCCCTTGAGGGCCTTGCCAGCCATGGACGGACCTGTGACTGGGGCTCCATGCAGCTCACAGGCCACTGTCCCCCTCAGGCCCATCCCGGAGCTGGAAGACTACCTCTCTGAGGACACCCCTCTGAACAGCAGCCTGCCCTACACCCCCAGGACCACCACCCAGAGGCAGCTGAGAGACCGCAAATCCTTTCTGGGCACACACAGCATTCTCGACCAGGTGGGCAAATCACCCTCCTCCTGGAGCCAGAACCTGGTGAGTGCCTGTGGGCAGCCAGTCACCTGGAGCACCTCAGTCCGGGGGGGGGGGGGCAAGTACCAGGTAAAGCCGCCCCACACGCTTGGCTGAGGGGTGGGCTCTCGAGCCCAGCTGCCCGGTTCAGACCCCAGCTCCGTAAGAGCAGGCTGCCTTTGCATTTTGGTTTCTTCATCTCTAAAATGGGGTCGAGTTCCTGCCCCCTAGGGCTGAGGCCCCAGGAGCCCTGTCTTCTGCCCAGGGACGCTCCGCCCAGGCCCCAGCTGGTCCCTTTCTCACTCTAGGAGTCCTTCCTGCCCCGGCTGGAGCTGCACTCGACCCTGAATCAAGGCCGCCTGAAGGGATACCAGCTCCTCCTGCCTTCAGTAACACGGCAGCAGGCTCAGCAGTAAAAGACTTCCAGAGCCGAGCCCAGGTGTGGACGTGGGCCGGGGGCGAGGAGAGGCCTTCCTTGGCCCACAAATAAATGTGCATCCCAGGTGCCTGGACCTTGCTGCCAGGTCTCACCCTACAAGCCCCTCCAGGTGCCTGGTGTTGCTGTTCTCTAGGGGGCCCAGACCATGGGGCGGGGTTGGCAGGGTCACAGCTGAGATGAGGCTGACGGAGGGCACAAGGCATCTCCAGGGGTCAGGGTTTGTTCTAAGTAAATCCCTCTTCTGGAACGTGAGAGACCCCACCACACACCTCAAACCTGGGTCCAAGCCTCTGTCCATCCGGATCAGCCTCCACCTGAAACAGGTGTGACCTCTGGCCTGACCTCTGCCCCCAGCCTGCATCTCTGATGGAAGGAACCAAAGGCTGCTTGCTGACCTGCCACTGTGGGGTGAGGGCGTCCAGACTGAGGCCGAGGGAAAAGAGCCCTATAAGAGCTCAAACGTTCGTCGTCTGAGCCCCCAGGCTAGGCTCACACCCTCTGTCCCTGGTCACAGCATCTGGGTGGGTGGGCCCCCACCAGCCATCTTTTTTTCCTCCTGGTGGGGGGAGTCGTGGGCAGTGTTCAAAACCACGTCAGGAGGTGACAAAAAGATTAGGTGGCAGGCACTGCCTGAAGTTAATCTGACCTCGGTACTGACCCCCCGGTGCCACCCTACATACCTGTCTTCCAGGTGTGGCCCTGCCACAACAGTGTTCCGACGCCCTGACAAAGTTTGAGCCCCCTGCCCTCGGTGAAGCCCAGCTGGGCCCCAACCCCTGGCCAGGCCCAGGACCCGGGTCTTTATCGCCACCTACTGGCCAGTAAGGAAACTGCTGAGGAATCCACACCCGGGCACCCCGATGAATGGGGGGAAAGGTGGGGTTTGGGCTGGACCAGCGGTTGGGGGTCTCAGGGCCAGGACAGCTTGTGGATGCGGATCCCAGTTTGAAGTGGTTCCCTGGCTCCAGAACAGAGGCGACAAGTGTAGGCACAGTTTGGACAAACCTTGTAGGGGATGGGTTGGGGGCAGTGCTGCCACCCCCTTGGGTGGGGGAGCGGGGATGCGGAGCTGGAGCGGGATCTCAGTCCCTGGGATGACTTTCCCTCCGCACCATTTTCTGGACTCTCACGCCCAATCCCGGCACAGTATTTCCATTTCCCGCAGAGACTGAGGGTCTCACGGGAGGCCTGCTTCCACCGCACCTCCTACCGGTGACCTCGGGAGCCCTTCTCCCGGGTTCGAGCCTCAGTTTCCCCCGCCCGGCCGCCGGCTGCCGCGCCACCCCGCGCCCACGCGGGGGCAGTGTTGGCCTGGCTTTGGCGCCGCCTGGCGCGGCCCAAACTTCTCCGCCTCTCGCCCGAGGGTCGGAAACTTTTCCCCTCGCGCCGCTCCCGTGTCTCCCGCCCCCACGCCGCCTCCAGCCCCGAGCTTCGCTGCGGCTCGAGCGGCCGCCTGCCACCTGCCCGCCCACGAGGGCTTGGTGGCCGCTGGTCCCGCAGCTTCTCTTTCTCACCTCGTGTTGATTAACCAAAAATTGCTAAGCTTGCGGCAGAGCTGTAAGCAGCGAGCCCTTGGAACCGAGTCCCGTGTGCAGCACACGGGTGGAGAGGCCCCTGGGAAACCTTTGCCAGCATCTGGGGGGGACCTAAAGCCGAGCACTTGCCCCGCAGGCGGCGAGAGCAAAGGGAAGGAACTCGGACAGGGGCCTGCGGAAGGGGTGGGAAGGGGGGGCACTCTCCACCTCCCCCGCAGGCTCGGGCGGGCTGGGGTGCCGAGCAGAGGTGCCGCACCCGGGCAAGTGGGGACCTTCTGCCCCTCCCTGCTTCCCTCCACCTCCCCCACTTCCTTAGCGCCCCTTCCCCAGCCCTTCATTTTTTCTTTCCCTTGCCCCCACCCTCCCTCGCCTCCCTTCTCTTCCTCTTTTCCTCTTCGACAAACATGGATTCTGTGTCAAGAGGACCTTGAGCGGCAGCTCCAAGCCTCACATCCCACTCAGCGCCTGAGCGGACGCAGGGGGACACCTGCGCAGGCACCACACGCACCGCCACACACGCACACACAGCAAGCACGCCGCACGCGGAGACGCCAGCCCAACCCACAGACGCCACACGCAGCCGACACACCACACACACGCAGATGCCAGACACACATGCACACACTTCAAAGGCATCACACACACACAAACAGACACTCATGCAGGGACCCACACGCACACACTAGGGACACCACGGATGGCACACACACATGCCCCCCACACACACTTAGGATCTCCCAGTGACTCCAGCCCCGCATTCCCAGGCCCACCTGCTGACTGGGAGGCCCCAGGTGCACCCCCCAGCCCCTCCCCATCCTCCCTAGCTCTAGTCACCGTCATGCCCTTCCCCCACTCAGGCAGAGCTTGAACTTGAACTGGGTGGCCAGAAGGAAGGTATGGAGACAGGCAGGGGGTGCTGCAGTGTGGGCGGGACCCCCTCCCAGATGTTCCCAGGTTCTCAGCTCTCGCCCCTTCTCAGGGCTCCCGACAGGGTCCTTTCCTCTGGTACATTCCCGCTCAGGCTGGCAGGTGGCCAGCCTCTCCCCGGGCTCCAGGGAGCAGCTCGGCTGGAAGGCCAGGAACGACGTGGCCTCCGCAGCTGGAGCTGGAGGCAGGCTCTGGTCCCCACCACCTCAGAATCTCTGGGGCACAAGGCAGGCGTGCCCTACACAGGTCTCTTCCGCCTTCTCGTTCCGAGCAAACGTAGTCCCCACTCCATTCCACTCCCCGCCCTCACTGTGGTCCATGCGCAGACCTGGGACAAGACCATGGGTGGGGGGGCAGGGGGAGCTGGGTCTGGTTTGGGAGTGGTGGAGGGAAGAGCAGGAAGGAGAGGAAAATCGCTGCTCCTCTCTCCTGAGCCCTCCCCGCCCCCCCAGCCCTTCCACCCGCTGGGCTGGCCAGGGCATCTCCTAGCCCCTTTGCAGCGGATAAACAAACTGAAGCTCAGAGAAGGTGCAGCCGTGGCCAGGCTGTGTCCTCTGCCAGTGCCCGGCCTTCAGCCACACACGAGTTCTCAGGGGAACTCGTTCACTACTGGGGAAACTGAGGACCAGAGAGGTGCAACTCTTTTTTTTTTCTGGTTGCGTCTCGTATACATCTGTTCAGGGACCGAGCCCGCGACCCAGGCATGTGCAGAATGATGCTCAGCCACACCAGTCAGGGCAGGTCAAAGTCTTCCTTAAGGCCCCGTAGTTTTTAAGTGTCGGAGTACGGACTGAGGGTCAGCAGGAGGAGACACCATTGAATGGCAGCTCCTCTTGGCGGCGGACCACGTCTCCCACTGAAAGGCACGCCAGGGGGTCCATCGTCCAGCACGTGGGCATTGTGGTGGCAGGGAGGACCAGGGCTGGGTCAGAGAGGGAGAGAGGTTATTTGGAGAAAGTGGAATTGGGGGAGGGTGTGCACATTGGAAGCAGAGCTGCAAGAGCAAACGGTCAGAGGGGTAGGAGGCCTTAAGGTTCCTCAGAGGGTGGAGGCCACGGTGGCTGGACCCCGGGAGAGGGCAGGGCAGTGCTGCCTCCGGGCAGGGGCTGGGCAGAGAGGGGCCTGACTCCGATGCCACATAGAGCCACTGAAGATAGGAAACCCGCAAGAAGGCAGCCCAAGCAGGGCTCCGGGGACATGAGCTGCCCCGTGGGCCCATCTGCTTTCATGCTGCAGGCCGTTCATTGAGCACCTACTGGGTTGCCACCTACACGCAGGCCCTGGGCACTCAGTGGACACTAGAACAAATAGCCCTGTCCTCAAGCTACAGTCTAATGGGGGACAAAACTCAAACAGGACACAGTGACTAGTGATGATGGGAAGCCTGGGACTTGGGAGCAGGGAGGGGGTCCAACCCATTGGACGGGGCAGACGCTGGGGCCTTTCCACCACTGTGAGGTCAGGGCATGGCCAGACCTGGACAGAGGAACAGGAGGTGCGGGGAGGGAGGCCACTGCTGCTGTCCTGCCGTGTGGCTGTGCGGCAGTTCTGAGCCTGGGGGGCAGGGGCCCAGGCAGGCCATCGACAGGCGAGGGGAACGGCTCCTGTCCCCCTAGACAAGAAACACGCACACACGCGTGCCCTGTGCCCCCACGTGGGCTGCCCACTGCTCGTTCCAGTCCCTCTGCCTTCGACTGCCATTGACCTAACCCCCACCCGGACCTCCCTCTCTGCAGCATCCCTGTCTTTTTGGGTCCCGTTGCCGCTCCCTCCCAATGTGTCCTAAATGACAGATGGTCTGCACCAGCCAGGGGCTCTTGCTGAAAACCATTAAATCCCTCTGTGGAGACAATGTACGCTGCCACCTCCAGGCAGCCCTACAAGCCTCAACATTCCCTTAAGCAGATTCAGGAAAGGCGGTGACACTGGTGATGTTCATTACGCTATTTGAGCCCATCAGAGCTGGCTCTGGGCAGAGCCTGAGCCAGAAGCAGGCACTGAACCCTCCAGGTTGGCTCCGGAACCCTCCTGAATGGTGACACTTGGTCCCCAAGAGCAGCAGCCAGAGCAACTCATTTGCCATCTCCCGTCATGGGGCCTTGGGAACCCTTAATGACACACCCGCCAGGATCTCCCTAGTTTATTGTCTGCACCTGGCAGCCCTGGGGACTGCAGTGCCACCCCCAAGCTCCCAGGGAGCCCCTGCTGGGCTCTGGGCTGACCTCCAGCTCCGCTGGCTGCAAGCCCTGCTCGCCCAGGCACCTCGAGGGCCCAGGCCACATTCTCCAGGGAAGGACACCTCCCCAGGCTGGCTCATGAGTAACTTCCAACAGCCCACAGCCAGTCTGGAATGTTAACTAGGGCAGCCAGGAGTCCATGGAAGTGGGACAGACCCAGAGCTCCGAGTCCCCCCAGAAATCAGAGGAAGAATGACCGATGCCTGTATCATGAGCAGCCTTTGGTCTAAAGACTGCCATGCTTAGAGCACATCTCTGAAGTAGGCACTGCCCCAGCCCCACGTGACAGATGAAGAAACCAGGCACAGAGAGGTTAAGTCACTTTCCCAGGGTCACACAGCTGAGCCCCGTGAGAAGTGCTCTCACGGGGCAGTGGCCTTTGCTGGGACTGGGGTTTGCGCCTCCAGAAACTGGCCAGATTTTCCCCCAGCCCAGAGGGTAGGGCTGAG